TTAATTAAGCAAGTAAAAAATTGTGACGGTGAAGGCGTGATACGAGGATATAGGAAATGTGAATAGGCCAGGGCAGAAGGGAAGATACGATAACTCTTTAGTACACGTTTGGTCAAAGGATCGGCTTCACTTGTCCCTTGTAGTATAGTGCTACGAATAGTAAAACCCACTGACGGTGCCGGCGAAACGTCTGGGAATGTACCACGTCCATGGTCCGACTTAAGAAATGATTACGCATACAATGGAATCAAGACAAGGTGCGTTCCTCTAAGTCTACCTACCACTATGACCAAGTTGCGAAAACAAAGTCAGACAACTTCTATAATTAGCACTGTTTCAAAGTAAAATAAGTAATCATTCCCGACTCTAAACATAATGTAGAATAGATAACAGGGCGGTCTGATTCGCCAGTTAAGCCGGTTGTTAGTATCACCTATATTTAACCAAAACTGACCAAGAAAATCTGTTAATCTAAGTGAGATAAAAAATTGTGTTTTAAGAAGAATTAACCTTAGTTATGCTATAAATAGATTTAGCTGCAAACAGTGGAAGCACCGTGGAAGCAAGTCTGACAACATACCTCAAGTTCTTCAGCTCTTTCCAAAATGCCGGCTGTTCTCTTATGATTCCTTATTATCTCTTCATCTGTGGGAGGGTCAATTCGCCTGCGACGCAACCATGAATCCCATTCCGGGGGTACATCAGGAAAGTCTATCAAGATAAAACCAAACTGACGTTATCACATGCCGGAAAAAGCAGACATAAGCAATGCGTAAATTCTAAACATAATAAATATGCAGTTGCCCCGTATCTAAATAGAATTTATCGTAAGGTGTGATAGTAAGGGTATTTTGAGTGCGCAAGTTTATAATTCGACAAAATACGGGTTGAGTAATTGAGACGAAGGCCATCAGCAATTCCCTTACTGATCTTTAGCTGAGGACGAAGATAGTAATACTCCCATATTCTGTGGCCTATAGACTTCGAGTGCGAGCCTATCATAACATGAAAAAATTTGTGCATGAAGTAGAATCAGGAGTGAATGGGCTGAATGACAAGCGAACCAATGAGCTAGTGAAATCTACCTGCTACGTTCCATAAAGCCTAAATACTGAATCATTGAATGTAGCTACTCTTTGATGCGAATGCTATGAAACCGTAGACAAATACTTTATGCTGCAACCGAAAAAATCCCAGGATGCCCCAACATCCTAATATGTCCACCCATATTGTTATTGGAAAAATCACGATGGAAAAGCAAAGAACTAAGAATTATTGAGCTTTTCTTTTCACCTTAAATCACTCCCTCACATAATCCTTGCTTAAGGTAAGTTCGATTATAGATTCTAACTAAAATTATTAAAAATTAACTTGTCGCCTTTCTATTTGGTTATACAAAAATGGGTTTCACAATACCAATTAAGCCGATTTAGCTAAACCTCTCGTAAGATCTCTCATTCACGGCGGACTGCAGTCTTAATCTGGCCTGTGCTACATCGGCGTCCCCGAAATGATTCGAAACCAGGTAACGCAGGCGTAATTACCCGCGACTGATCCTCGTAACGAATTACTGGCAATTTATAAACATACTCGCAAATAAAATAGGTAAAGTCGCCCATAGCAATGGCGAATACATGCATTCCATCATAAGCACAGTTTGGGAGGCCTGATTTACCTTTGATTCACGCTCGCCCTGTGGCCCACTGATAACCGTGGCAGTGTAGCAAAGTAATAACATGTCACCAAAATAGCTGTGGTCCACTCTGGATCAGGAAAAATTATAGGCGAGACTGAATGAAACTCAATTGCATCGCGAGTCCTACTTATTGCATTGTGGGAAATTCCTCCAGTAGTCTAAAACTCCCATTAAGAAACTAAGGGTAATTAAAGTTCTTATCCAAGAACTAATGAGTAGTTTTGAAAAAAAAATCTTGAAGAGAATACTCGTACTTTCAAAAATACTACCCTTAATATGCTAAAAATAAAAAATCTTTAAGTCCTTTATTATTCTAAGAGAACTATTATAGTTATTTCAAAATATCTAAAGTTTTAAAAATTTACACAATTTTCAACGACTAGCATCTAGCTCATGTTTTAGTAAACAATAATCTTCTATAGATGAAGCTTGTACTATATATTGAAAGATAGGATAATATTAAAGCACAACTTCCATAAATTTGTCAAGACAAATCTAGAGGCCTCGAACAACTTAAGTGGATGCTTTGACAGCAGAATGAAGAATCCCAATAGGCATATTTTTACAATCAGCTATTGATTAATTTACTTTACAATATTGTTAGGGACCATTTAATCTTTAGATTTCATTTAAGGGCCATCATAAGTTATTAATAGGTGGAAGTCAGTAAAAGGATGATTTCCAAGGCGGACGAAGTGATCAATATGAACGGCACTCGGATAATTAGTCGCTTTCAACTGTGTATGTAAAAGTGGGTTGATCTCGTCGCAACTTGGTCTTGTTATCCGAGAGACTTAGTAGAACGCACCAAGTCCAAAGTCCTCTGCCATAGTAGTCATCATAATTGCCAGCATCAGACAGTGGACTTGTTACATTCTCAAACGTTTTACCGTCATCATAAATGAGTGCTACCATTCTCCACCCCGAGCTACGAATGCGTCAGAGACAAGTGAAGTCAATACCTCGACCAACGTTCCGCCGAAAATGGTTGCGATATCACTCCTCTTTCTGTCATGGCCTATCTATCTACTCTACTCCCTTATCAAACTCCCGCCCTATCACAACTTGTCACTTGTTTACATTCCACTCGTCAAAATGTGTGCCCTTTTTGGCAAATTTGGTGTGGTCTTATCACACCTGCAATTCACCCTGACCCCCCTCTTTCGATCGGCTAATCCGACTCGTGCTTCCTATCCAGATCTCTCCCATGGTCTCGTAGATCTGTTTCTAATCTTTCTGGTTGATCGATTTCACTCGGTTCCAGTCCCAGTGCGCGTTTTACTTCAGGCGCCGTTTATCAAGATCTTAGAAGCACGTACAGGACTGCCTCACCGAGCAGAACACCTATGCCCTGATTCCCATGATTGCAGATATCAGACATTGCCTTCACAGGTCGTCTCCTTGATTAAACCAGTGTTACCTGAGCAAACTGTGGACGCTTATCTATAGTCCACGGGCGTCCAGAGCTTCGGCGTGATCTGGCCAGGATCCTGACTTTCAAAAATTCCAGAGCATGACCGACAGGAAATCATGTAGGATCTATGATTTATTAGCAAAATTGTATAAAGATAAATTGCGTAAGTTTGGGATTATAAGACAGCCTAAGTTAAAACTAGTATGCCCAGTTGAAGTGGTTTCCGAAGTGATAACACCTATTAATCAGTATGACGAGCAAAAGAAAGTATTTAACTTATCATCAGTCCCTCTCAATCCCGAAATAACCGCATTCTTGAAAAAAGGACTTAATTTTTTAAATTCAAAATATAAGGAACCTTCTAGAAGATATCCTGGTGGAGGTTATTAATATCTCCGACAAATTCCCTGAGATAAAACGGGAAATGGAGACGGAATTAATTCCAAAGATCTTGGCACATCAAGAGACAACACACAGGAACAGATTTGCCAGGATACGCAAGACCCTGGAAACAAATGAAAAATTAATCCTTTAGGCGGATAAAGGAGTAGCGACAGTGATAATTGACAAAAAACAGTATACCGAGAAGATGAAATGTATTCTACAAGACATGACCACATATCGTATACTAAGCAAGGACCCAACTATGAAGATTAATGGAATCTTAAGTGGCATGCTGAAAGATATGCATAGAAATGGGGAAATTGACACATGGACGAAAAATTCAATCATAAGAAAGGATGCACGACCATCAACAGCTTACGAATTGCCGAAAATACACAAAGGCGAGCCACTAATGCTGATAGTTAACAAGTATGGAGGAACACACAAAGTGTATTTGTTTGAAACTCAACAAATTAAATAAGACTATCAGGATTGCGATATCACTCCTCTTTCTGTCATGGCCTATCTATCTACTCTTTACTCCCTTATCAAACGTTTATATAAATTTTCTCAAAAAAATAAAAAACATGGCACTGGAAGAAACAGACTTATTGGTAAGTTTTAATGTGGAGTCCATGTATACAAATATCTCTGGAGAAAATGTTCTCAGGGCCATGCTGGAAATCCTGGACCGAGAGGAGAATATCATGGAAGCACAACGGATCAGGAAGGAGTCATTAACAAGACTAATCAACTTGACAATAAGGACAACCTATTTTACATTCAACGGAAACATCTATGAACAAATATTTGGACTTCCCATGGTGAACACATATATGAACAAAATAGAAGAGAGGCTGTTTGTCCTTGTCTTCGCAACTTGGTCATATTGGCAGGAAGACTTAGAGGAACACACCTAGTCCGGAGTTCATTGTATGCATGATCATTTCCAAAGTCGGACGATGGACGTGGTACATTCCCAGACGTTTCGCCGGCATAGTCAGTAAGTCTCGCTATTCTAAGCACCACAAAATAGAAGAGAACTTCAAGATGGCATCACTACAACCGGCAGTGTTCATGTGGTACCTGGATGATTACTTCGCACTTTGGTCAAATGGAAGAGAAAAGTTGGAGGAGTTTCTGGCATTTGTAAACCAGATTGATGGAAGAATTCAATTCACGACGGAAGTAGATGAAGAGGACCGGTTACCGTTCCTGGATGCTAAAGTGATTCGCTCAAATAAGACTCAAAAAGAAGTCTTATGCTGTGATAATACTCAATTTCCGGTCACATCACAATTATAGATTAAAGATAGGAATAATGAGCATGATCATCCGAAGTCTGCACTTAACGGATGTAGAATTCTGGGACGAAGAGTTGGACAAATTGACTAGGATATTCGTCGGCAATAACTACCCAAGCAAAGTAATAGAAATAAACATACGAGCCGTGAAAAGCCGATGGCAGAACGAGGACTATGAAAGAACAGTAAGGACGATGATGGATTCACAAAAGTGGATATGCCTACCTTCCTACAAACGAACTCAAAAACTACGGCCAATATTGAGGAAATGTAATATTCAGGTGACCATTGAAGAAAAATCAACACTTTTCACTAGTCTACCGACGAAAAAGAAGGGTAGATAAATTGGATTGTTTAATAGTTTAGTGTATATCACGTGGCCCATGCAAGCAGAAATATATTTGCGAAACAAATAAAAATTAACATACGAATCAAGGAAGGTCAAAGGCTCTGCAGGAAAATGGATAATAAAAGATCAGAATTAGCGGAACACATCGTAGACTAGAGGCGAGATCAATTGGAAGGCAGCAAAAAGGAGGGCCTCATAAGATAAAAGGACAATGAAGCGGAGGATTAGGGAGGCCATTGACATCCTTGGGAAGAAAAATCTATGAACAGGAGATTAGAAGGTATAGTTAGCGACAATTTCGCCTACTGCTTAAGGAAACTTAGAGATATCAGGAATATAGCAAGACCAGCAAATGTGAGACGCCTGGATCAAGGACCTATCGCTAACGGAAAAAAATGGATCGCGATGAGCAAATTAGGGGGCGAGGAGTTTTGCAAATTAAACAAAGATGTTGTCAGTGAGTGATGTCCGTTTTGAATAAACGAGTACAACTTTGGGGGCCCGACAGTCAGGGAGCTAGGCGGACGGATAAGAAAACCGTCAGAAATTCGACGGTATATCAAAAGGTACTAGAAATCCACTTGAGATTCAACATGTGGACCAGAGATAGGCGTCAACAGTTTGCTCAGATAACATGGGTTTAATCAAAGAGATGACCTGTAAAGGCAATGCCTGCAATCATGGGAATTAGAGCCTAAGCGGTCTGCTCGGTGAAGCGGCAATGTACATGCTTCTAAGGCTATGAGAAATAGCGCCTGAAGTAAAACGCACATTGGAACTGGAACCGAATGAAATCATCAAGCCGTCCAGATAAGGAAGGGATCTACGAAACTATGAGAGAGATCCGGATGAGGCCTGAGTCGGATTAACCGACTGAAAAAGAGGGGATCGGGGTGAATAGCCAATGTGATGAGGCCACGCTAGATTTGCCACAAAATGGCACACATTTTGAAAGATGGAATGTAAGCAAGTGAGAAGTTGTGATAGGGCAGGAGTTTGACAAGAGAGTAAAGAGTAGATAGATACGTCATCTTGGTCTTCATATCCTTGATTAAACTGTGTATGTAAAGTTGAAATACAACATAAATTAATTTGCTGCTTAGGTCAACCAATAAGT